TTTGTTCGTCTCTCTCCCTTTGACTAACTTCATTCAACATGATAGTTTCCAGGTCCATCCACAAAGCAGCAAATTGCATGGTTTTCTCTTTTAATGGCTAAGTAATATTCCATTGTGCATAGGTACCATTGTTTATTTATCCAGTCATCTATCCATGGATTGTTTCCAGATTTTGGCTATGGTGAATAGTACTACAATGAACACAGGGATGCAAATGTCTTTTCTACATTTTGTTTTTGGGCCCTTGTGGTATATTCCAAGAAGTGGAGTTGCAGGGTCAAATGGGAGGTCAATTCCTAGGTGTTTTGTTTTGTTTTGTTTTGTTTTTCACTTAAAACTGTCTATATTGTCTATATTGTCCAGAAAGACTGGACCAGAAAGCATTTATTACAGAATAACTAGGTATGTGCATTTGAATCTTCTCTGGCATATCCCACTGACTTTGGTATGAAATTCCCTTAATGTCAATCTCCTATAATAAGTGATACAGACATGTTAATATGAAAATCCTTAAAATTTAGTATACTATCTTCTAGTAAAAAAGGTGTATTTGATAAGTCAATAAATATTTTTAAGTAAACGTTACTCTGCAAGATAAAATTTATAAAGCACCTTAATATACTGTTACTTTCTTAAAGAAATTTCTAGCCTCGAGAGTTTAGATATTCCTTCCATTAGATGTGACTGTAAACTAATGTGACTCCATCAGACACCTGTTAAACAGATGTCCTTAAGAGCAGAAAATTCTAATTAGGGGAATTTAAAATTTTAATACTCTGTATTATATTATTGCCCTGTCTTTGCTTTAAAAGTTATTTTTAAATTGATGAAAGTACAGAAACACTCATTATTCTTAGGAGCAAATGAAATTCTGCATTGCAGTCTGTCTGCTCATCCATAATTCAGGGTCCTAGCATAAAACATTATGCTCAAACAAGCACAAATATTGGCAAAGGTGAAATATTAAACTGCTACAGTCTCAGCTAAATTATGTAGCAATCTGGATTCACTTTAATTTCCTAGCACTCGGAACAAAAATTAAAAGCAGAAAACCAATCAATAATTATGGTTGGGAACTAAATAAACAGTTGAGTAAAGCCAAATTTCTATTATTCAGATTAAAAAAAAAACTTCTTCAGGTATACATGGATCTGACATGAAAATAAAGTCCAAGAGATGGAGGAAGCATTAGTTTCTGAGAATACATATTCAGGTTTAAAATTGGGGAGCAGGAGTCTACAAAAATATGCTTCCAGACTTCAACTCTGTTAAAAAGAAGCTTTAATTCTTGCTAACAAAATAAGTGTTTGAATAAATTCCCTCCTGAGTATCAATTATCTGGACAATAATGTCAATCTTCCATTTATTAGGATCTCAGGCATTGGTTTGGCAGTTCCACTAAATAGGGTCACTAAATGACCTTGATTGAAGACACGTCTCTTCTAACAGAGGGGTGGAGAGGTGGCTTGCTTGGGCTCCAAGCAAGTATCAATAGGATGCACAGTGAGACAAAAGCAAAGGGCCTCGCCTGAATCAGCAGAACCAACCCAGCTAATCAATATGCGAATCACAAAATCCACCAAGTCCCCTTCACCTCCAGCTCCTTCATTTTTCTATCATGACACAGTGAAGAGATATTGCACTTTGTTTTGGTTACTTTTGCTTTGTTCTGCTTTTTAGGTCACAGCTAGTGGTGCTCAGGAGTTACTCCTGGCTCTGCACTCAGGAATTAGTCCTGGAGGTACTTGGGGGACCATATGGGATGCCGGGGATAGAACCCATGCTGGCCACATGCAAGATGTATGACCTTCCCTCTGTTCTATTGTTCTGACCCTGAGATAATGTACTCTGTGACCCTCCAGACCTTCCACGGTGTAGCCTCAAAGAGCCTCTAGCTACAAAATACTTTAAGAGAAAATGCTGATGACTAGTATCTAGCACGAGGCAATTGAGCTTCAAAATTTCAAGGTTTATCACTCTAAACTTCTCAGGTACCCTATAGCATGCTATAATCTGTTTATTAGAAAGGAATAAAAGGAATCAGTACAGAAAGCAGAGTCACTTTCTTCATAATAAAATTACTAGTTCTCAGAATATAAAATTCTTAGTATTGCTGCCCAAATCTGCATGACTAGAAAAATTTGCAACAAATCACTAGGCTTGGGCCTTCTCCAATTTTAGTCCATGATTTTTCAACCTCTAATGGCTCTAGAGCAGCTTACCAGATACTAAATGATGTAGGTTTTTTTTATTAAAAAATATCTATTTATTTATTTATTGCTTTGGAGACACACCTGGCAGTGCTCAGATTTTACTCCTGGTTCTGCACCCAAACATCACTCCTGGAGGGATTGTGGGACCATATGTGGTGCCAGGGATCAAATCCAGGTCAGCTGCATGCAAGGCAAAAGCCCTACTCGCTGTCCTATAACTCTGACCCCTAGTACATAGAGTTTTTAAAAGCACTTTTAATCTGTTAGCTCCCAGACCTTCATAACCATCCTCAGAGGGAAAGACAGGGGAGGCAGTCCACAATTTGCAGAAAGGACCACCGAATGCAATAAGATATCCCTGTTACAGGCCAAGAATGGGACTGGGGCTGTGCTTTCTAAAGCTTTCCCATAGCTCACAGCTAACTATATATCCACTACACACACACGCTGGAGCGATAGCACAGCGGTAGGGTGTTTGCCTTGCACGCAGCCAAGTCTCACGATGGAAATGTTGCTGGGCCCACTCGAGCAAATCAATGAACAACGGGAGGACCGTGACCGTGACACACACACACACACACACACACACACACACACACACACAAACATAAAAACAATTCTATATCTACTACATGAGAAAGCAATTTCCATCCAACACACACACACACACACACACACACACACACACAACCAAACCATTGAGGCACCAGTCCTCTTTCTTCTTCCCTCACCCTATTCATGGCCTTCAATATTTTTTTCATTCAAGCCAAATCAGAATGTCATCTGATTCTGAATGAAGAACTTTTCCATTTTTTCAAACTTCCTTTCATAACTTTTCTTTATTGTCCATACGTATTTCATCTAGAGGATTCTCAGGACTGAATTTTCATAACTCCAAGAAAACTCTGCCACTTGGTTTCATTATCTTTCTAACATTTTTCCATCATTTCAAAGATGTGTTCATCAAATGGTTAGCAATATGCACCCCGGAAAATAATAGCACAAACACGCAAAGACAGAGCAAGAGAACTCCAAGCTCAGTGTTCTGTCTGCCCAAATGAAGATGCACAAATGAAATGGTGCCTCCTTGGCACTAGGCACATCCAGTTTCCAGCCTTGGGACAAGTCTGATCACCCACTTACTCAGCAAGGTTTTGGGTTTTGGTATCTTCCTGTTTATCTGGCATGCCAAGTAGATCTGGCAACAACAAATGTGCAACAAGCAACACTAACACCAAGCAGATGACCAGGAGAAGGGGACCATGTGATGATTACAAGGGCTTCAGTCAAACTAGTGGTGTCTAGAGAAATTCCCTTAACTTTCTACAGCTGAATGCCTTCTGTGGCAGGAATATGCAAATCTAAGAGGTTGGTCTGTATTTGCAAGTCAAGAGCACTCAACTGGAAATCACTTTGCACACCAAATGCATTACAAGCACGAAAAGTGGGATTGTGGCAATAATATGAGGGCGCTGATGCAGGACCACAATGACTGCTTGGCAGTTTCTAGAAAACTGAAAATCAAGCTATCACATGATTTTTAAACTCTCTTGACAAAGATTAGAGCAAAGCCCTGCTCAACTCAAATATTTATATTCTAAAAGGATTCATCTGAGCCCCGGGAGAATTGATGTTGGATTGTGATAAAGAAGTATTTTCATATATTCCTAAACAATGATGTTTATGGTTCAAGAGACATATTTATGTTTAAAGAAAATTTATAATTAAGGATTCATATGTGAGCTGCCACAAATTTCACTGCTAACTTTTAAAAAAGAATTGGCTATAGGAAAGAGGATGCTATGTGGAATGTGGACTAGAAAGTCTAGATGCCAGTCAGAGTGCCAGTCACCATTAATTGTATCTATTATTAAAATTATTATTTAATAATTTTATTAATTTATATTTATGAAATATAAAGTTCGGTTTAATCTTAATTAATATTTATTAATTTTATTATGCTCTTTTTCCTCCAGGCCTCTTTGTCTCATTTTGCTTAAAGATTTTCCTGGTTTCGGGGGCTGGAGAGATAGCACAGCAGGTAGGGTGGTTGCCTTGCACACGGCCAACCCGGGTTCGATTCCCAGCATCCCATATGGTCCCCTGAGCACCGCCAGGAGTAACTCCTGAGTGCAGAGCCAGGTGTAACTCCTGTGCATTGCTGGGTGTGACACAAAAAAAAAAATTTTTTTCCTGGTTCGTAAGGAATTTCTCGTTGGCATCAAATAAGTAGTTAGTATCTATTTATTTGATATAGCACACATTTGTCCCATCATTGTCCTCATTGTCTGTATTCAGCACACGTCATGGTGTTGCACTATCATTGGTTATAGAAGGAAAATTTGGGCCAGGGATGTAACTCAGAGCATCTGCATAAAGTCCTGGGCGCACTTGCGCGCGCGCGCGCACACACACACACACACACACACACGCACGTACATGCGCATGTGCACACACATCACATTCACACAGTCACGTTCACATTCACACACATATTCATACACAGGCCATAACTCTGAAGTCCCAACCAGACAGTGAATTATCATTCAGGTCACGCTAATACAGACACAAAATCGAAAGAAAAAATAAAAAAAGCCTTTGTCTTTATCTACAGAAGACAGTCCTTAAAATAGCATGAACTAGTTCGAAGACACTTTTCTATTCCTGGCTGTAGTTTCATAAAATTGAATAAAAATGAAAGCCACTTGAAAAGATTTGTGAGTTCAGTTGTCACTGAACTTTAGAGGGTTCTTAGACAAAAGAAAGTCTGGCCTTGGGGCCCCTTACCTTGCAGCCTTTGCATCACATTAGCGATGTCCCGAGGGGTCCGAGGAGACCTAGGTGTCCTTGTGGCAGTCCTGGAGGACGCCATGGTTCCTCCCGAAGCATGAAATTAACACAGGAGACTTGTCACCCAAGACAGTGTGACACTACGCCCCGCCAGCAAACATCCTGAACTTCTCGTCTGGTCATAAAGGAATTCCAGGCACTGGCAGAAATTGGCTCCCAAAGATAGAATCTCTTCTTTTAAGACTAACTTTTTAGATTAAACACAGGAATCTGAAAAGCAAGCAGAAAAGATACAATATTTAAAAGTCTACACAGGCCAACACACAGCAAAAAGGAGAACTGTATTCCTTGCCAAATGCAATAACGAATGCAAAAATACTTATAAACTGTAAAGGACTAAACAACTACTAGGGCTTCTTAGAATACTGATAAAGTGAATAGGCACAGGAGACATATATAACAAAGTAGGTTGCTAAAAGTAACTTTTATTCCATGTTTTCTATTATGATTATGAACATCTTCCACTGATCTATGAAAATACCTGTATGCAGAACCCAGAATTTTACTTATCAATATGCACAAGGTTTTTTTTTAATTTTTTCTTTTTTTTTTCATTGAAGTACCATGAGATAGTTACAAAGCTTTCACGTTTGAGTTTCAGTCATACAATGATCAAACACCCATCCCTCCACCAGTGCACATTCTCCACCACCAATGTCCCAGTGTCCCCCCACCTATTCCCAGCCCTCTCCCATCTCTATGGCAGACAATTTCCCCCCAGAATCTCTCTCTCCTTTTGGGCATTATGGTCTGCAATACAGATACTGAGAGGTTATCACATTTGGTCTTATCTACTGTCAGCACACATCTCCCATCCTGACGATTCTTCCAACCATCACTGATTTAGTGATCCCTTCTCTATTCCAACTGCCTTCTCCTCTAGCTCATGAGACAGGCTTCCAACTGTGCGGCAATATTCCTGGCCCTTGTATCTACTGTCCTTGGCTATCAGTCTCATATTATGTTATTTTATGTTCCACAAATGATGCACAGGTTTTCTTTACTTTTCCTTTCTTTTTTTCTTGTCCTTTCTTTTTCTTTTCTTCTATTTATTTTTGTTGTGTTTTGGGGGCTGGAGCGATAGCACAGTGGGTAGGACATTTGCCTTCTACGCAGCCAACCTGGTTGGCCCAGGTTCGATTACTCTGCCCCTCTTGGAGAGCCTGACAAGGTACCGAGAGTATCTTGCCCACATGGCAAAGCCTGGCAAGCTACCCATGATGGTATTCGATATGCCAAACACAGTAACAACAAGTCTCACAATGGAGACATTACTGGGCCCGCTAGAGCAAATTGATGAACAACAGGAGGACAGTGCTACAGTGCTACAGTGTTTGGGGGGTCATAGTGCTACTTTGGGCTCACTCCTAACTCTGCATTTAGTTATCATTCCTGGCACTGGTGGCAGACCACAAGGGGTACTGCAGATCAAATCTGGGTCAGCCATGTACAATTAAACACCCTCCCCACTGTACTATTGCCTTGGTCCCCATGCACCAGTTTTCTTAACTATGCTAATTTAATCTCTCTGCACACCTGAGTTACTCTTTTTCTGGTACATTTCCTTAGAATTAGATGAAATCTCTGCTTCTAAATAGTAATTGGATAAATCAAGCAGTATAAAAGTATAACTATTTTCTTTTTGAAAGTTCGGTTTCCAATATTCCAATGTTAGACATCATCGTGGGTTTGATCTAGCTCTCCCTATAAAGATGCTAAAGTAAGTCACAAGACTGGGAATCCCATAGACTGAGCAGGAAAGACATTTTCCTTCTAATTTTTCCTGAATTCATTCTGTACTGGGGTGGGAGAAGAGAAAAAGAGGTAGGAGCATAGTTGATGAAATCTTAACAATGAGACACAGACATTAAACAAGGATTTCCTAACCTGAAGGGTTACTGAAGAGAAGGTCTTGTCAAGAGTAAAAGAGCTGATGGGATAAAGAGCAGGAGGAAGAAAACAATGTGTCCAGAGATAAGAAATGTAACCAAGTGGTCAAAGGAAATGGACGTGTTGGAGAGATGATTTAGTGCAATTCATTCATGCTCAAAGATCATGTGCAGAAATGAAACGTGGGCTGCAGAAGAGGTAAAAGTAAACACGTGAAGAACACACTTCATATGTAAGTGGAAGTGTCCATCTGTGTCCAGGAAGAAGAGTGGATGAGGATTTTCAAAACTGACAGTAAAGGGGCTGTAAAGTTCAGTGGGTAGGGTATTTGCCCTGCAAAAGGTTGGCCTGGGTTCTATTCCCAGCACCCCATATCAAGGCCCAGCAGTTCTGATCCCTGGGTACAGAGCCAGGAAGAAACCCTGAACATCACCAGATACACCCCACCAAAATAAAAGCCCACTAAAACCTCTGAAAATGAATAGTACTATCTGAATGTGTGGTCATACAAACAATTATGAAAGATTAGTTAAGCAATAGAGTAAAATTACAGTAGTTTTTAAAGGCATAATATCTGGTAGGAATTCATGAAAGCAAGTAATATAGTCTATAAACTGTCATCTCAAAAAGAATGCTAACCAGGGGCCCAAGTGATAGTACAACAGTAGGGTATTTGTCTTGAACATGGCTGACCCGGGCTCAATCCCTGGTATCCCATATGGTTCCCCGAGCACCACCAGGAATAATTCCTGAGTGACCTTTGGGCATTGCCAGGTGTGACCCAAAAAGAAAAAAAAAGGTTCTGGGGCATGCAAAGCATTACACTCTGGTGCAGCCTATAAGAAAGCACCAAAGAGCATCCTGGAATTATATAATGTTATAATGCAATAGTATTTCAATCACTATCACTATCACCCCGTTGTTCATCGATTTTCTCAAGCGAGGGCCAGTAACGTCTCCATTCATCCCTGTCATGTGCTTGTGTAGCCCAATGGCATATTGGGGGCTCTTTCAGGGTCAGGGGAATGAAGACCATCATTATTACTGGTTTTGGCACATTGAGTACGCCACAGGTAGCTTGCCAGGCTCTCCCTTGTGGGCGGGATACTCTCGGTAGCTTGCTGGGCTCTCTGAGAGGGATAGAGGCTTTTGGGGAAGCCTCTAATCACCTTTACAGGTGTTCCCAGTCATATATATATGGGCAGAATACTCTTGGTATCCTTTAGAGTTCTCTGAGAGTGAGAACTAGACAACAAGAGGTCTAGTTTATAAGCTTCTAGACCTCTTGACCTTATTTCAATAAGATTTTTTAAAAAATATACTAGAACAAGAAAGTTCTCTTATTACTTGTCATGTTACAGGTTTTGGTTGATTTAGTGGACAGCATCAGTTGGTAATAAGGCACAGAAAACTTCTCTTGGCTATTTGAAAGGAGATTTTTCTAGAAGTGGAACCAAAACTTGGCAGCCTCTAGACTAGGGACATCTAAAGTGGGAGGCTCTCCAAAGGATGCTCAGAGGAGAAATAGGTACTGGAGACCGTGTGCCGGAATTATGTGTGCATTAGCAGCTTCCGTTTCATGGGGAAAAATATTCTACCTGCCCACTTACAAAATTTGGAAACTAGGATAGCGTGAGAAGCACCCAAGGAAAACTTACAGAAACAGCTTTCTCTCAGCTGTTAAAAAGTTAGATTCATGGGGCTAGAGCAGCAGTACGAAGAGTGAGGTGCTTGCCTCGCACGTGGCAGACCTGGATGTAATCCCCAGCATCCCATATGGTTTTCTGAGCCTGCCAGGAGTAATTCCTGTGTGCAGAGTCAGGAATAAGTCCTGAGCATCGTCAAGTGTGCATGCCTCCCCGGGGCAAGAAAACCCCAAAATTTTTAACTAGTTATATTCTCCACATAAAACAATATATATTGAATTATCCATTTATCATTCCACTCCCTACACTGGAGGGATAGCACAGCGGTAGGGCGTTTGCCTTGCACGCAGCCAACATGGCTGACCCGAGTTCGATTCCTCTGTCCCTCTCGGAGAGCCCGGCAAGCTACAGAGAGTATCTCGCCTGCACAGCAGAGCCTGGCAAGCTCCCCGTTACGTATTCGATATGCCAAACACAGTAACAACAAAGTCTCCAATGGAGACGTTACTGGGCCCGCTTGAGCAAATCGATGATCAACGGGATGGCTTTTACTTTACTTTTACATTCCACTCCCTACATAACACTCACATATCCATCTAGCTAGCTAAATGACCACTTAGGAGATACCTGCTAAGAATGAAATCTATTTCAAATACAGTTTTTTCATAATTCATTCAGAGCACAAGAGTTTCCAGAAGACTAAAAAATGTGTCCATCAATCAAGAATTATGCTGTTAAAGGAGATTTCTGTCAATCATTATGTTATAGAACTCCATATATTACATTACATCCATATTGCAATACTACATTATAGTCTCCTCTGGTTCACACTCATGCTACCCACTAAATGAAGCCTGAAATCTCTCTCCCTCACACACCCTCCGCATTCTCTCTCATTTTTCTCCTCGGGTCCAATCTCAGCTTCTATTCTGAGTCTTAATTCCACTGTCTAATTATTGACTTTTAGAGTCAGAGGTTAGTTCTAGGGTACTGAAATGAAAATGAAATAGAATCTCTCTCTCTCATTTTTATTCTAAGGAGCCTAGAAGATAATGGAAGAAGGAGCAGAGAAGAGATACTATAAATACCAAAGAAGAACAAACAGGGAAAAGGAAAGTGAGGGGGTTTCATATGTTCTTATGTGCCCTAGGTTGAGCTAACTCTTGACTGAGAAATGGAAACTCAGTCATTCAGGTGAAGTCTAGAAAGTTCCATTTCAGACAGAGTGCTGGTCGAGGCATGGACATGACTGCAAACATGTCTCCAATCAAGAAGAGGACATGAGAAATTGCATGACTACCACATGGGCTGACCAATCAGGAAATGAAGAACACTCTGAAACTGAGGCTGGAAAAGGAGACTAGTGTTAGGGCCTGGTGCACTGTGCTCAGGAGCGTGGTTCTGATTCTCTCGAAATCACCAGGGAATCAGGGATTGCTGAAGAATTCCTTCAGATTCCTGGAGGGGGTTGAGGCCAGGCACAAAGGCTATAACTTGCATTATTCTGGCACTGGTATTGAAGAGTGAAGGTGATGGGAGACGCTGAAATATTTCTTAGGAGAGTATCTCAGGATTCCAGGTAAGAGATGGAGAAGGACATACCTATCCCTAAATCCTTAGGAGTTAAAAGTATAGGACCTAG